TAGTTAGTTAGTTAGTTAGTTAGTTAGTTAGTTAGTTAGTTAGTTAGTTAGTTAGTTAGTTAGTTAGTTAGTTAGTTAGTTAGTTAGTTAGTTAGTTAGTTAGTTAGTTAGTTAGTTAGTTAGTTAGTTAGTTAGTTAGTTAGTTAGTTAGTTAGTTAGTTAGTTAGTTAGTTAGTAGTTAGTTAGTTAGTTAGTTAGTTAGTTAGTTAGTAGTTAGTTAGTTAGTTAGTTAGTTAGTAGTTAGTTAGTTAGTTAGTTAGTTAGTTAGTTAGTTAGTTAGTTAGTTAGTTAGTTAGTTAGTTAGTTAGTTAGTTAGTAGTTAGTTAGTTAGTTAGTTAGTTAGTAGTTAGTTAGTTAGTTAGTTAGTTAGTTAGTTAGTTAGTTAGTTAGTTAGTTAGTTAGTTAGTTAGTTAGTTAGTTAGTTAGTTAGTTAGTTAGTTAGTTAGTTAGTTAGTTAGTTAGTTAGTTAGTTAGTTAGTTAGTTAGTTAGTTAGTTAGTTAGTTAGTTAGTTAGTTAGTTAGTTAGTTAGTTAGTTAGTTAGTTAGTTAGTTAGTTAGTTAGTTAGTTAGTTAGTTAGTAGTTAGTTAGTTAGTTAGTTAGTTAGTAGTTAGTTAGTTAGTTAGTTAGTTAGTTAGTTAGTTAGTTAGTTAGTTAGTTAGTTAGTTAGTTAGTTAGTTAGTTAGTTAGTTAGTTAGTTAGTTAGTTAGTTAGTAGTTAGTTAGTTAGTTAGTTAGTTAGTTAGTTAGTTAGTTAGTTAGTTAGTTAGTTAGTTAGTTAGTTAGTTAGTTAGTTAGTTAGTTAGTTAGTTAGTTAGTTAGTTGAAATAAACATTCATTTCTTTTAAAACCGCTTAAATCCACTTGCAAATCTTCCAAAAAAAATCGTCACAATTACATTTGCCCAGAAAAATTGCGACGTTATTTTTAATATTTTTCTTTCTGTAGTGAAAATAACACAAAATTACTAAAATTAAAAATAGAGAGGAAAAAACGGTGTTCACTTTAAAAAATACGCAAAAAACAACCAAAGCCCAACTACTAAGTTTAGTCAAATCCGAATACAACTTTTTAAAATTTGTACTCAACACTCACACGCTCTACTCTTTAGTGATAAAAACAAAACATTCACCACTAACTTATGCTCTTCATAACACTACTCATAAAATACGAAACAAATCGTTAACATTACTCGTTCACCAATCAAAAACATTTGTTAACATCGTCACCAGTCGTTCCAATGCGAAAACACTAAACATAACAACGAAGTCAAACATCGTGTGGTGTTTGTAATAAACATCGTGTGATTATAATAAATTTCGTCATTTCTCAGAGTTTCGAGAATGATATGCTCAATTTTGTCGTTTATACTCTATCTTTTAGCAGTTTGTTTTGTTTACAAAACTACTCACTCTCTCTCATGTTATTTTTGTAATTGCTCTCTTGTCTCTTGTCTCTTTTACTCTTTACTCTTTCCCTTTATTTATATCATTTTAATTACACAAAACTTTGCAAAAATTTTTATACTTTTTTTTTTCCTATATTATTGACATTTTCTTATGTTTGTTGTTTTATTCTATATATATTACACACGATTCTCCCCTGTAGTTTTGTTGTTTAGTTTTTTTATTTTCTGTTTTTTTATTTATTTCGTTTACTGTTCGGTTTTTTTTAACGTATGTACGTTTAGTACATTTGAGTAATATTTAGTATTGTTGTTGTTGTTGTTTTTCAGTGGATATTTTTTTATAATTTTAATATTTTTATTTTTTTCTGTTAGTGGCGCTTCAAGTGTTTGGTTGTTACCATTCATTGTGTTTCCATTGAAAGTGTGTAGTTTCGTGGGTATTATTCCATATAGAAATTTTCAGTTTGTTGTTTATTTTTTTACAAATTTCTTTCATTCAGTTTTTTTTCGCTTTTTTGCGTAGCGCGTTTATGTGAAGTTTGTGTTTATTTAATAAAATTTGCTAAAAAACATTAAAGAATAATTTTGTTTTTAGTTTTTTTCCTGCAAAAATTTGGCAAAATTGTTTAATTTTTTTGCCTAAAGTGGTGTGTTCTTTTGTTAAAAATTGCTAATTATTTTAAAGTAAATATAATTTGTGTTTTTAAAAAATTAATGTTTTCCAAATGGTCAGGGAAAAGCAACAGCCTCGTCGTGCTAGTGTTGACACCAAAGATGGTAAGTTTTTTTTATTGTTATTATTGTTTTGCTGTTTTTTGCATACACGTGTTGGAAATATTAATTTATTTTGCGAAATGATCTTAAATTTATATTGTTTTGTTTTTACATAACCTAAAAATCACGCCATAAATTATTTAGTTAAAAAAATAGAACGCAAGCATGTTTAAGGAATTGATTTAGTTTAAAGTGGTGGTTTAACGGTATCGAAAAAAGTACTTTTTGTACTAAAAAAAGTCTGTAAAATTTAAGTATGTTTAATTTGAACAATTAGAGTTTTATGTTACAAAATTCCTTATAATTCCTTTTTTAACAAATTGTTGTGAAAAGTAGTTTTTACAAAGGTTAATTTGAATTGTACTAAAAAGTTCTTTTTATAAATTTACATACAATTTGAATTGCTTTAGAAAGTACTTTTTACAAAATGTATGTTTAAGCTGTTGTAAAAATTTTTACACAAAGTACTTTTTTTGAAAAATCCAAAAAAAGTACTTAACTAACTCCATCCATAGACATTTTCCAAAGTTGTGAAATAATTTTGAAAACTTATATTCATCAATATCCACTCAGTTTGAGTTCGTGGAAATTATTTTGCATACCTATAAAAATTAGTCAGTTTGTCTTTTTTTCAATTCAATAATATAGAGGGAAATAGCCCAAAATTGTTTAAAATTTATATTACTCATAATTTCGACGTATTAAGAATAGAAACAGCTGACATCAGTTACGTAATATTTAAGTTATTTATTAATTCCGCAATACTACGACGTAGTTGATCTAGGATTGGTTGTCGACTAGAAGTTTACACTTGTTGTATTCAAAACTCCATAGTGTATCTAGAACTGAATCATCTAGAAAACTTTCTATTTAATGTTTTCTTTTCATTAGTTCGGGAAAAGCCCAGAAAAGTTTTCGATGTGTCAAAATCACCTTGAACCTTATGATGGGAGTCATTAAAGTGCTGACAAATATACAATTTGGTGATTCACTGATGATATCTTCATCAACGTATACTGGTCATATTGAAAGACTTTGAAGCCCTGATCCTGTATTGAATATCGCAGGAATCCTTCGCTCACCGGTTGGCTCTAAACATAGAGACAAAACGTCTACCTAATGACAATACTAGTTTCCAAGCAGAAGTCCGTGCAATTACGGAACGTGTGAACTGGATTGGAATAAATATAACACCAGCAGAGATTAAATTATATACCGACATTAATGCGACAGCGAGGACGATATTAAGACCGAAAATGAAAATAAGAGAGCCTTAATAGAATACTCTTCCAGATGTTAGTTTACTATTTGATGGAGAGCAAATCACTCGGGAATAATCAACAACGAAAGAACTAATATATTTGCTTCAAACCTGACGAATGTACCTTTAATTAACGAAACAATGGGTAGAACCACAAATATCCTAAGGGGTGAAGCTGAGGAAAGGTTCTCGCTTCTCAGAATATGAAAGTCCGAGGCTAGGAAAATGCTTTACATTCTGATTGGATATACAGGATTACAGGCACAACTATACAAATTACGAGATTAAAGTATATACCGACATTAATGCGACAGCCAGGACGATATTAAGACCATAAATGAAAATAAGTGAGCCTTAATCGAACATTCTTCCAGATGATAGTGCTGATGGACAGCAGAACACTCGGGAATAATCTCCTACGAAAGAACTAATATATTTGCAACAAACCTGACGAATGCCCCTTGATTTAACGAAACAATGGTTAGAACCACAAAGATGCTAATAGGTGAAGCTAAGGAAACGTTCTCGCTTCTCAGAATATAAAAGTCCGAGGCTAGGAAAATGCGACACATTCTGATTGGATATACAGGATTACAGGGACAACTATACTAAAATGGGATGAACAGATGCATGCAAAGAGGACAGAGAAACTCTTTAACACATTCCTTGTCATTGACAGGATTTTATCGAAATTAGATCCCAATATCTTGCAAGCGATATTATAACATATATTATAAGCACTGGAACGTTCTAAAGAACGACGTACAGGTAACTGAATTTCTTAACAGCGCGATGTTTAGAAACTCATCGGATGATAATACCTTCATGGAGCCCTAAAGCTTAGCACCAACATTTTCCATATTAAATAGCTCACAACTGGCCCGATAACTACATAACCGGTCATATTGAAATCAGTGAAATCTAAGGGAAACAAATTGTTTTTCCCCAGCATTGTTCAGAATGTACACAGAATCGCACGCTAAATTCTGAAATATGAAAATCTATTTTCAGCGAGTTATATTTAGAACTATCCCCTTTTATACCTAATTCAATCTAATGTCTTACTTAATTCGAAAATTACATGCATTCACATTCTAACGCATAATTCTCATTTAGTTAAGAATATTTTTGCAATAAGTATTTTAGGTTTTATATCAGTATTTTAAAAATAGTTTTTCTTAATAAACTTTTTGATTGAAATGTTGTAAATTCTAAAATCAAGTACGAATCGAGCTCAAATCAAGCCCATTTTGGGATTTAATTTTTAAAGCAATGAAATCTCAAATCAAGTATGCATCCCAGTTAAGAGCCATTCTTGTAGCAACAGATTTCTACATTATTTGCTCTAATCTTCCGCTCGATCATCAGTGTCAGCCTTTTAATGTGTCCAATGTATATTGATGATAGGTCCTAGACACGACATTGCTAAATTTCCTCATTAAGAAACTTGAATGTGGGAATTGTAATAAATAGTTTTTATTATTGAATTATATATTAGTTCATTTAACTTTTGATATAATTTTTAATCTATTTTTTTTCTCTCTCTCTCTCTCTTTTCAGGTATGTACAAACAATATATTTATACTTTTTTACATGATTTTACTAAATCAAAATCAGTTGGTAAGTTTTAAAAACAACTTTCAGGGTTTTCAAAAAAATACTCCAAATATTTTCAATATGCAACAATATTAATAAAAAAATAAAATTTACGATTTACTTTATGATTTTTTCTTTGCTATTTTTTTAATAAGCGATATGCCAGAAACTTGAGCATTTGTTTCTAAAAATGGTTATAGATTTGTTCATGCGACAGTTTGCCAATGTCTGACTTATTTCTCTAGATTACTTGTATTGGATTAGGGACTTTTCACAACATTAATTTACAACGTTGTAAAGGGATATTTGCTAAATTTACAAGCCATGAAATTATTTATCGATGTTAGATCTCCAACTTTTTGCTTTAAGTCCTTGTTTACGTTGATGATTTTGATTTTATTTTGAACGTAGTTTTAGCCAGATCAAAAATAGTTTAGTTCGATCAATATATATACATATATAAAGTTTCAATTGAAAACGATTTCACAAATGTTGGATGAGTAGAATAAATACATTATGCGATCTCTTAAGAAAGCATAGAAACCTGCTAATAATGTCTATAAAGTTTATAACCTTTACCGATATCCAATTTTGATCTTTCTGGACTGAGTCATAAAAATTCACGTCAATATGTTGATGAGTTTGTCATGTAGTAACAAGCTTGCCTCATTATTTTTTTTTTACTTAAAAAGCACGTGCCGTGGAAGTTGAATCATTTAAGTCAAAACTTTTTTTCAATTAATGCTTTTAGTAAAACAAATTTGCATTATTAATTAACTTTATTACTTAGGAGGATAAAACAGCAACGAAAACTGAAATTTGCCACCAATCAAATGATGCGATCGCAAAGATTGTAAACAAAACTATAATATCGGAACCATGAATGTTCTTTGCCATTGGCATAACCATCATGGTAAATAATTGCTCAAATAGTAATTGATAATCAGGGTCTTAAGGGGGAAGGCGCTGTTAGTTTTTTTTTTTGAAAAGATCAAAGTAAGATCAGGTAACCCAAACGAAGAAAAATAGTTAGGTACTTTCAAATCAAAATTTCCAACATTTTCTGATTCTGATGATATACTAAAGGGTTTCATATTACCCTTTAGTAGATCCTCAGAATCACTCTGATCCTTCTAAATATTTGAGAAATTTTCTAATTGGTGTTATCCTACTGAAAATTCTTTAATTTTTCTTATTACATTGAGTTGTGTAAATGATTTCATCTTTATTTAATTTCAATTTAATAAAATTGTGAAATTGTAAATTTACAAAAAAAAAAAAATAGTTTTGCATTTTAGCAACAACAATATAATGACAACAGAAAGATAAACAATTCAATTACAATGTATTATTGATATCATATTTGTTGTTTTTGTTGGACATTTTTTCTAGAATTGTCGCACATCGACTTTTAGGAAAATAAACAGAAAAATAAAAAATGAACACACTCATACAATCATCTAGAAAAATATAATTAAACAATTTTAGAACTAAATTTTACACATCAGGGTATTGAGCCCAAAGCTCTGGATTAGGAATTAAATTTAAATATGGAACTAACTTTACAGAATTTGATAAAGTTATCAAAAGTTATCATTTCGACGATTTGTTTATTATCATTCTGGATCCTTTCGTGACTTCAACAGATAGAAAGACAGACGGACGGAGAGTCCATTCAAAATACATTTACATATGTATATATTGGGTTTTGGACCAATATTTCAAAAGTATAGCTCGCAAATTTCCCGACCATATGATACCCTATACCAGCCGTGCTACCATCAGAAGAAGAGTTTCAATTATGAACCGATAATTACAAAGTCTAGTGTAATTAGTTAATTTGAAAGAAGGATGTATGTTTCATTAAATACGATGGAATACACCTAGGCCATCGGGCCTGTTGTGCTCTCTTTTACCAGTGTCTCTAGTGGTCTGTATCCATTAATAGAGCAATCGTCATATAAATTGGACGAATTCGTTGAACAGATGGACCGACGGACGGACTTATGTATGTTGATTCACTAAAATACCTCTGGGCCGCTTGTGTAGGACTGAGGCATTCATTATTTTGGTGTAGGGTATAATTATAACAATTTGTTGTTTTTGTTGTTGCTGTTTCTTCAAATAAGCGAAAAGTTAAGATAAAAACAAACAAACAAACATAAACTAAATGGCAAAAAAAAACTACAACAAATTATAAAAGCAGACACTTTGCAAAAAATGGAAAACAAAACAAAAAATAACAAATAATAAAAAGTTATAACGTAGATATTAAACAGTGAGGGAGAAAATAATAGAACACTAAAATTGTTTGTTTTCTTTTGGGAAATTAGTGACGTTGTCTTAACTTATAGAACCCTTTATTTGGAATGTTGTTGGATATTCTAATGCACTTTAAACGCTTTCTTTTGGAACTAACTCTTTGGTAACTATGGGAATCGGTGGACCGAAGTACGAATCCATCAGACAAGCAAAAGACAAGTTCGTACTCACATAGAACACACTGTTGTAAGAACATAGCCGAGCCTGAATATTCAGCCCAGCCGCACACTTTTCATTTATCCGACACTTTCAACAGAAAACATCCGACATATTCCTACTAGTTAGTATATGGGTAGGGCAAGGTCCATATAACCCTGATTCATTCCTTAAGAGTCACTCTGTGGATTATCTGTTGTCTTTTTCGGCAACAGCAATAAAAATTTCCCGATGTATAGATTTAACCATAACTTAACAGTCACTCTGTGAGTTATCTGTTGTATTTTTCGGCAACAGCAATAAAAGTTTCCCGAAGTTTAGAATTCACCATTTATTAGTTTTTTAACCAACATTCTCTTTCCGCTACTTTGAGGTTAACTGTCACCAAAGGGACCTCTCCAATAACCGGAACAAAACAAAGTCCCATACTCTGGTTCCCGTGGTAGCAGCTTCTCTAGTTCGACTCCAGGTCAACTCATTCCGACAGACTAGAGCACTACTTTTCCCCGTATTGCAATCACATCTAGATGGGGGGAAGTTCTTCAATGTAACATACCCAGAGGCGGCCTAAGAAGTAATGTTAGTTATGAAATTTCCCCATCTTTCTGACATTATATGAATTCTTCACCAAATCGAAATTGGCTAGCGAATTAAGACAGTTTCGAATATCGGATTCAAAAAGATCTCTATATAGAGAGAGTATTGTATCGGCTTCTCTGGTTCGACCTTCAGGTAAACTCATTCCGACAGTCTAGAGCACATATTTTCCCCCGTATTGCAATCACACCAAGATGGGGGGAAATTCTTCAAGGTAAATGCCCAGAGCTATGACATTTTCCCATATTTCTGACATTATATGGACTCTTTGCCATATCGAAATTGGATCGCGAATCAATACAATTTTGAATATACGATTCTAAAGTTAAGTGTATCCCATAGAGTCCATTCTGCATCAGTCAAAACAAATAGTAGTCGCATGGGACAAGAATACATATTCCGATTTCTGACATTATATGGATTCTTCGCCAAATCGAATTTCACTCGCGAATCTAGTCTATTTCGAATACCCGATTCTAAAAGATCTCTATATATAGAGAGTATTGTATCGCTCGAAACAACTAGTAGTCGCACGGGACAAGAACACATATTCTGACTTCTAACATTATATGGATTCTTTGCCAAATCGAATTTGGCTAGCGAATCAAGTCAATTTCAAATACCCGATTCTAAAGTAAAGTTTATCCTGTAGAAAGCGTTCTGCATCGGTTGAAACAAACAAGGACAAATACAGATATTCTCGCTTCAAACAAATCAGTTCGCTTTCGGTATATGTAGGTACCCTGTGATGATCTGGTCAGATTTCAGCAGTTTAACATGCAATCTCTTGTGTTCGAATTATTGAGCCATTTTTCATGGCAAATAGTGATTCAGACACAAAAAAATATTCCTTTTAAAGCGTTCAAGCAGCATGTAAAATTGACTTTCACAATCTCTCCGGATCAGTTTGAATGGTATCCAATTTCCCTGCTTTTGGATGAATTCAACTGTGGTCCAAGGTTTTATGTTTATATAAAAGTTCGGTCCATGCTAAATTGATGTTCAAAATCTCACGGTTTCAGTTCGTATGATATCCAATTTCCCTGCTTTTGGATCTAATCTAACTTTCAATATTGCGACCTATGGCTTATTAATCGACTAGAATGTAGGTAGGGTGCAAGAAATTTAGATATGTTTTACTTAACTGCTATCATTTTCTCCACCACTGTAGCTAAGTACAATTACGTATGAAAACAGCAATAAGCAAAAAATAAATACAATTTTTATAAACAAAATAGGCAGAGGCAAACAACAAACACACCACTCCAAACGTACAATAACAACAACAGCAACAGAAAAACACCTCACTAAACAAGTATTTTTGAGCAGACACAAAAACAAAAATATTAAAACACGAAACGAAAGAGAAGAGATTTATAACATTCGGTTCGAATGAGACAAAACCGAAGGCATGAGAGGAAATAGAGAGAATTTTATTTCCTCAAAAGAGAGTTGTTACGTGCAGTGAGAATTCCTATAGAAAATTTCTTCTAAAATTTTCTTGGAATTATTTAGTATTGCTCTACCTGTCGTCACGTTAACAACAAACAATTTTGTATAATAGAAACACGTTGAAATGAAAAGAGAAAAATTTTTATTTGTTTTTTTCTTATATTTATTATAATTTTGAAAATATTGAAAAGAAAAACAAACAAAAAAAAAACGCGGCTCTTTAAAGCAAATAGCGAAAATAATATGGAATAATTAATGTTTTATTTGCGTTTTATTTTAAGCGGCAAACTTTAAATAACAAACTATTTATACAATTTTAATATAATTAAAAGCATTTAGTAAACAAAATAATATTATAATAATAACAACAACAAAAAGCAATTAAATTGCCTTTTTTGGTGTTTGTGGGAAGTTTATAAAATCAATCATACGTCTAGTAGTCAAATTGAAAGTTTTAATAAAAAAAAACGCCTTTTTAAAAGGTTTGAAAAATTATTAAAAAAATATAATTTTGTGAAAACGTTTAAAAGAGTTTTTTTAAATTTATTTACTAAATTTTTAATATTTAAAAGTTTTTGTGCTTTAAGTTAAAAAAAAAATTGTAAAAAAAATTTTTTTTTTCAAATTTGTGTAAAAAAGTGCAAATAAAGTGTATAAATTATTGTGTAAAACAACAAAAATTACTTGTTTCTTTATTACAACAACAACATAAAAGAAAGCTTTAAAAAGGCAAAAATTCAATTACATTCGTTTTTTTGTTTTTATTTAAATTTTAACGTTGGCGTTAATTGCCAATAATTTATGAATTTTTTTTTGCTGAAAAAAATTAAAACAAAAATTTATTTAAATTAAAATAAAATTTATTTAAAAAAGAATAATAAAGAATTTAATGAAAATCATTAATTTAAAACATAAATAAAACAAAAAAGTGTTAAAAAAATTTAATTTACATAAAAACAATTATTAAAAAATAAACAAAATAAAAATTAATGAAACAAAAATTAATAAAAAATTAATAAAATAAAAATAAATGAAATAAAAATTAATATAATAATTATTATAATAAATAAATAATAAAATAAAATTAATAAAATAAAAAATAAATGGAATAAAAATTAATAAAAATAAATTAAATAATTATTATAATAAATAAATAATAAAATGAAAATAAATGAAATAAAAATTAATAAAAATAAATAAAATAATTATTATAATAAATAAATAATAAAATGAAAATAAATTAAATAAAATTTAATAAAAATAAATTAAATAAAAATTATTATAATAAATAAAATAAATTTAATAAAATTATAAAAAACATAAATTAAAAATAAATATAATTTAATAAAATTAAAAATCTTTTAAAAATATTGTAAATAATATGAAAAATATGATTTAAAAACAAAGTGTTAAACAAAATAAAACAAAAATTAAAAATTATTTTAAAAAAGTGTTAAAAATAAAATAATATATTTTAAAACTCCCAGAAAATAAAAAAATCTTTAAAAAAAGTGTAACTATAAGTTTGTGTAAAAATAATTTAAAAAAATTATTTTTAAACTAAAAAAAATCCTTAAAAAATACATTTTTTTCTTAAAAAAAAAACCAAAATTGTTTTCCCCCAAAAAGTAAGATTTATATAAAAATATTAAAAATAATTCAATAAAAAATAAATATTTTCTAAAAAAAAAAGTTTGCTTTTGAAATTGTTTATTTAAAAAAATTATTAAAATTAAGTTTCTGACAAAAATCTTAAAATAAAATAATAAATAAAAATTAGTGCTAAACATTAGCTATTAATTAATAAAACTACTAATTAAATAAAATAAAATTAACATAATCAATATGATTAATTTCTTTCTTTCTAACAACAAACCAAAAGCCTTAGGTCTTCTTCTCTCCCACTTTAACTCTTGCTCACTCTAACTAACTGTGGATTATTACAAAATTATCTATAAAATATGGCTAAGTATATAAATATGTATATTTCCCCCACATAGTTTTTATATTTTTTGTAAAACAATTTATTACCATTTTTGCTTTAATTAATTCCTAAAGACATTTGCATAAATATTTTTTTTAATATATAAAAGAGTGTTTTTTTTTATACATAAATGTATTTTTCTTTATAATAAATTATAAATTTATTTTTGTGGTCAATAGAATATATTAATATTTCAGAAAAACACATTTATATCCAGGAAATAAATGTTTGTAATTTGTTGTAAATATTCAATTAAAATATTTATGGGTTTTGAGTTTTATGGTCTAGACTTTATAAAAATTTTATTTATTGTAAAATATTATATTTTTTTAATAGTAATTTACTGCATTTGTGGTTGGTTTTATTGAAATGAAAGTAAATTAAGAAAAACATAGTTTAAGGAAGTTAAAAATTATTAAAATAATTAATAAAATTCTATGAAATTTATGCAATAACTAAAACAGATTTCATCATGATGAGGAAAACTGGTTTTTAGTTTGTTTTATATACAAATCTTAGTCTTGGAGCCTTCTCTCCTTCTATAACTCCTCAACATCGATCTTGCGTTCTTTCCATATCTTCTGTTTAAAAACAGTAAGTTGTTTGAGTAATATACATTCTAGGAGATCAAATTAAGCCATTATTGACATCTATAGAAGTTATCTTAGTCAGATAACTTCTCAAGTATTTCGTCTGATTCTACCACACCCTTACAGACAAGTATGACATCACAAATCCATCGAGTATATGTATTCATAAGTCAGATTTGTCCAAATGGTATCGATATATTTTTAAACAAAATTTGTATCGAATACAGTAGATCATATTATGGTTACTTTTTTATCATAATATGATCATATATAACAATATTATGATTAATAGGAATATATTATGATGAAATGAACAGTAAAATTAATCACAATATGTTTGGACCATAAGCCATAATATGTTGCTCTTTGATTATGATTATCACAACCATGTTTTTTTTTCTATGTATGTGTAAGGAATTATAATGATTATAATTTAAAATTCCTTTAAGGACATTTAGAGTAGAGACTAAGGTTATATCATGCAATCAAAATGATATAAAATTTATTAAACATTATCGATTACATAAGATCGCTTCTAGTAAGTGAGTTTTTCTGACTGTCCAACATACTTCAGGTAGAAAAACTCAATCCTAGACTTGTTTGGAGTTGTTTAAAGTCAAAGAATGTTCTTCCAGCTCAAAAGGAATACTAGAAAAAGTGTAATATATAAATAATTCTTTCGAAAATTTTAAATTATTTGCACATGCACATAATTAATTTCATTTAAAACATTAAACTCAACAAGTTAATAAACAAATAAGTACCCTTTTTCTAAACTATAAATAACATTTTGATATTTTACCCTAAAATTTTACAATATCTTAGAAATTTATTTCAAAAATGAACCTCACCAAACAAAAAAACTAAATAAAACTTTTACTGCGTAATAGAAAATGACAACAAAAACACTAACAGCAACATATTGAAAATATTCCGCATAATACAAAAATTATTGACAATGACTTTTTGTTCTCAAACATACTTTATTCAAACCATGACTGAATACATACATATATACAACATAAATATGTATGGGAATAAACTGAGATGTTAATGTGGCTAAACCTCATTATCAGCAATATCAACATTATCATATGATAATCATGAGGCACATACACATCATCATTATAATACCATAAATAAAGAAATTTAGTTTAGCTCTTTATTTCCTTATTTTTTCTTGGCTCCTTACTCCTAAGGCATTTACTCTTTAGCTGTAAAGGAAGCATAAAGATGTTCCAGGCATGGAAAATGAACATTTTGAAATAGCACTTTAGGAAAACGAGTACCTAATTAGGATTAAAAGTTCTAATTCAGTTTGAAATCAGTTCTAGTTCAGTTCTAGTTTAGTTCTAGTTCAGTTCTAGTTCAGTTTTAGTTCAGTTCTAGTTCAGTTCAAGTTCAGTTCTAGTTCAGTTCTAGTTCAGTTCTACTTCAGTTCTAGTTCAGTTCTAGTTCAGTTCTAGTTCTGTTCTAGTTCAGTTCTAGTTCAGTTCTAGTTCAGTTCTAGTTCAGTTCTAGTTCAGTTCTAGTTCAGTTCTAGTTCAGTTCTAGTTCAGTTCTAGTTCAGTTC